AGTTCTTGGATTGACTCTTTTGACATGTAGACAAGTCTGACGAATCGTCTTCAGAGTTATTATTTATTATTTTCAATCGAGGAATCGATGAAGACGCCATTATACTCGAACAATCTTCATTCAAATACAGCCATGAAATCTGAAGAGAATGCGAACTTATTAGCTTAGACTATATTGCTTAGAGAAATTAAATTAATATATACATTGTTCTGACAACCTATATTTTGCAATCCTTTATTGAATCAATGACTAGAAAGGCTATTTATATTATTGTAAGATTCATTCACAATAATGATTGCGGATATGCTTTATAACAACATTGTATTCACGCGTGTGTCCGGCTTCTTTCGCACACAAATTACACTAATAAAAAAATCCAGTTCGATTTCCGTTTCCCAATTTGAAATGTTGCGGCATTTATTTTTGGAATGAAATTCGAATTTACGTCTTGAATTATGTTGACAAAAAAATGCACTCTTACTTTCTTGTTTTGTAATGAATTAAAAATAAACGTTAAAAATTGAAGTAAAAGGCGGCAAAAACACTTGCTTTCTAAAATATTTATTAGTCTTCATGCATGTCGAATTCGGGAGGGGGGGGGGTATTTAATATCGGTACCTACAAATATAATTTTGTTTGAATGTTGTATTTCCATGGAATTTAAACAAGAGTATAAGAATAAGAGTGTTTTGTGCCTGAATTACTCGCATGTAATTCCTGTAAGGCACACACACTGGAAATGCGGCGAGAGGGTAATTCCATGATAGCGCTTCTCCCTGGGCGACTGCAGCATCGATTTAGCCTGATTATAACACCTGTTCGGTGGCGCGCTTACGAGCAGACTTACACTCATTCAGATTTATGACCAGCGTTCGCTCCTCGATGCCTTCCGTATCTACGTACTGTGGCTCTCTGCAGGCCTAACTACAACTATATCTAGAATATTTACTTCTATTTTTAGATTATTTACTTCTAATTCTTGATTATTTACTTCTAATTCTAGATTATGTACTTCTAATTCTAGATTATTTACTTCTAATTCTAGATTATTTACTTTTATATTTTCGATTATTTACTCCTACATTTTTTATTATTTACTTCTATATTTATGGCCAGCGTTTGATCCTCGATGCCGTACCTATGAGCTGTGGTTCCTTCATTCCTATAGCTAGCTTATTTACTTCTACATCGTTCACGCGGAAGCTGACGATTACAATTTTGAATTTTGTGTTGCCTTTACTTGAGCAAACGTTTCCTGCCTATGTGAAATGGAACACTTGATAATACTTCGTACCAGTAATTTATAACTGGTGACTCACGGAAACTTCCTGTCTTGCATTTCGCGCCAAGCAACCAGATATTGTAGGAAAAGAGCGGGGAGTATTTCATATGAAAGGTAATGTCGTGAAAATTTGTGTCCCGCCTAGTCAGTTGCCACTATGTATTGGACAAGTGAGCAACGTGCATTTGCTGTCAAGGCTAACTTTCCTACTGGCCGTTCCATTTTCGCTACTCAACGAACTCAGGTTCCTGCATGATCGGAAATAAATTGTTATGTGGTTGAACACATTTAGGGAAAGTTGTCTTGAATCAATTATTTACAATTACTTTCCAAGGATTCTACCTCATTTGAAGAACAACATACGTCAAGCCGTTGCCAACATACCCGTCAATATGCTTCAGCGAGTTGAACGGAACTTCAAAAATCGACTAACTAAATGCATTGACCATGGTGGCTGTCATTTTTCCGATGTCATCTTGAAAACATAGTGATACGAAAATTAAGGTGTTATCTTTTTAATAAAATTTATATTGTAATGATGCCTTTACTAGTTCTTTTTGTATTGAGCTTTCTGATCAGGAAGTTTTCGTGAATCACTCTGTAAATGGATGTGTATTTGTAGACATACTCGATCGCAAAAAGAATATGTAGTGAAATAATCTCACAGCATAGATTGGTGGTGCGAAAATCTGCGATAACATTAGCTATATGCTTATTAGATAAGGTGTATGAATGTACAAAATTTGAAAAGTTATCCCTCACTGGAATATTAAAAATATTAAAATTATGAAGCTATGTATGAAGATTGTTATAGTTCGGTCCAAAAGAACCTAATACTTGTGTTTGGCTAAATAGCTTGTGTCATTTAATTTTATAATTTATTCGCGATATATAGTATCTTTTGATACAAGCAAACAACATTGGTGTTTAATTTTTTTAGAGAAACTCAACGATTCGAGGCAATGGCTTTTTATGGTGGTATAATTTCGTGCTAACACCGGCACCGAAGGCATCATTTCAACTTGCGCTCAAACTTGCTTATCATGCAGATGTCGTGTATTCGGTAAATCCATGGAATAGTAGTGGCTTATTCATCTCGTCAAAATAGGATAATTCGTCATTAATGTTGGATTTCATAACTTTCGATGTTACAGCGATAACAAAATAGGCACCTTCGTACGTATATGCCACTATTATAAGTGAACATCTCGTGGCCATCCGTGCGGTATCACCTTGCAGGCATGGCAGTTCTCTTGTCATGTGTATGAAAAATTGGTCAATTTAATATTAACATTCCAGTGACTTGAAGGGTTCAATAGTTATTCAATACCAGAATTTTATATTAAAATTGTAGCCTTCAAATGCGTTTTTGCGGTTCACTCACATGCTCGAATGTCGTGGTTTACTCAAATGGCTATTTGCTCTCGTTCATCAATCTCTTGGGATCTGCCAAAAACGCTCATAATGACCATATCCATTTTCCTTATACATGCTCTCCCAGACAGCCACTTTAGACCTCGATTTATTCACTAATTTGATGCCTTGCTTACCAAGGATGACGTTGCTAGCGCATTAGTGTGCAACGGACATTCGTGTCATCGATTTAGCAAACACGAAATGAATATGTCTGAGCACCTTCGTAAATCTCCTGCAAATTTGGGCCTGTTTGCTACCATGAAAAAGTGGCCTTTGTGATTTCAGCTTATAATTGAATCGAGAGACAAACATTACGCAGGCTTCGAGGCAACAAAGTGAAAAACTTCAACTTTGTTCGTTTCATAAATATAATTTTGTTGCATAGTGACGACGTGCTCTATGATGGTGCACGTGTTGTAAATTCTACTGCCGAGCATTTTTTAGTTAAATTATTTGTATTAAAATGCGTTTATAGGGAAAAAGATTTGGTGCAAGCACCAAGACTATTCGAAAATAATACAAAAGATTAGAAACTAAAAATTCTTAAAGAAAAATGTATCGCTCATGATACTGCGCAAATTTTTTCTCTCTGGAAGCTGAAGTAGGAAACCTTTACCGCTGAAAATTTAATCATCGTTGCGTCATGGACTTGTGAGCATTTGCTATCCACAGTCCATTTACAGAGGTAAACGAGTTGTAGTATTTTTCTTAACGTTAATTGAGCTTCCATGAACATAATGGCTTATGAAAAGCACAAATCAGTCTATTCCTGGAACATTTTATGAAGGTCTGCTGCATGCAGCGAAGTCTCGTGGTGTGCGATGAAAACCTAACATGCATTTCTGGTTACTGTGCATGCGTGTCGGCCCCGTTAGGACCCGCTACGAGCGAGGGCAAGATAGGGTCACAGATGTTCCATGGGGCCGCAGCCACGCTTTGTTTATGAGTCTCGATATTCCGCTGCCGCCTCCATATATCTTGGCCCTCACTATATTACGCCTGCTCTCACCCGCCCTCCCGCCTTCCCACACTGCCTTTGACCTACCCTAACTTCCACCACCCCCACCACTATCATCCAGCTTTACATCCATATTATTTACTCTCACCCATCCTCACTTCCATACTTCCATCTATTCATACCTATACTATCAACCCATCTACGCCTTCTACTCAATACCTACCCGCACCCACTCGTACCTTATTTTTTAATCGTAACCCACATCCTCCCTTAATCTCTTTCCAAATCACTTGCGATGTCTCTTAGTTTCACCCACCGGGGCGCATTACTTATTCTAATCTGCTCGCACGTCCGGTCTTTCTACATCACGCTAGCGACAAAGTTATCTTATCGCTTAACAAATCGCGAGCGTTATTCATCACTCAATCACCCATATATTTTATCATTTTGAGACTCGGAGATCCTCTCTTTCATTCATCGCCTCTCTAATTCATTCCTGTAGTATAATTTTGTTCTCTTTTGCACCTCGCTCTCACTCTATTTCTCTCTTCTGTCATTTCTCCATTTCCAGTCAATTGCTCTATTTTTCTTCATCTTTCCTCTCTTTACGTTCCGCTTCTATCACTGTGCTCACAGTACCGAATTCGCTCTAAGTCTCAACAGCTTTTTCACTCGCATCGTCCCTAATATACCTCGTATCTAGTATACCTAGTATACTAGATCTAGTATACCTGGTATAATATGTAATACTGCTACCACTCCTCCTAGCTCCTCTTACCCCCTCATCGTACTCCATCACACATTCATTCTAATGATCCAGTTTCATTTTGTCAATGCAAGCAGCTTTCGCAGGCTTATACTAAAGACTATAAACTAAATGAAAAATAGTTAATAGTTGATAACTGCTTTGAAGCGTTAGTTTCATACCTCGATTCATACAACTTTCGTTCAATAATTATTGGACATTGACCAGATTATAAGCAAGTCTATGTATGGATACGAGCATGTTATGTGAATGAATGATATTGTCATCGGCAAACGGTTTTAGGTCTAGCAGAAGTCATTCAATGAGAGCCAATGCATTTTGTTCACTTTTCGTTGAGTTAAAAGCATTGGCCAGTATGGGGATCGAACCCACGACATCCGCGTTATTAGCACGGCGCTCTAACCAACTGAGCTAACCGGCCGCTGATGACTGTGGAGACCATTTTAGTGCCCGTATTAGCGTTTATGCACTGCCCATACACCATCAATCTTTGTTGCATTTTTCGAAGCTTAACACCCCTGGTTTATCTTTTATCTCACACAAAGTCACCCGTGGTTTATCTTTTTGTGTCGTCACAGACGCATGTTTCCTACGGTGCGCGCTTCATTCACGGGCCTGCGGTCGGAAGAACGGTACGCGGTGCTGCTGGACATCGTACCGGTAGACAGCAAACGGTACCGGTACGCATACCACCGGTCGTCGTGGTTGGTGGCTGGTAAAGCGGATCCCCCGCCACCGTACCGGCTGTATGCTCACCCAGACTCGCCGTTTACAGGAGAGCAGCTCAAAAAGCAAGTTGTCAGCTTCGAAAAGGTCAAGCTCACCAACAACGAGATGGACAAGGGCGGACAGGCAAGTTTAGCTTTAGGTACAACATTATTTGTAAAATTAAACATTATTTGTAAAACTATAGATTTTGGGCGGGCGATTTGACAGGCCTTGTGTGAAGCCATGTGTGAACAAGGGCGGACAGGCAAGTTTAGCTTTAGGAACAAACATTATTTTGTTTGAGGTTCGATTTTAATTTGAATTTACGATTCGCTAAAAATTAAACGAATAAGGGCGGACAAGCGAGTTTTCTTTCTCTTACATTTTAATCTGTATATAGTCAAATGGGGTAAGACAGGATCGCAGCCTTCATGGGGTAAGAAAGGACCAGCCCATGGCGTGCATTCTAATTGCACTGAATTCAATAACCTGCTACCATCACTGCTTGACATGTATTCTAAAATGGGGTAAAAAAGGACCAGACATGGGGTAAGACAGGACCGCTAAATGCTCCTGTTTTACCAAACAAGTGGTCCTATCTTACCCCACAAATGGTCCTGTCTTACCCCACAAATGGTCCTCTATTACCCTACAGTTTATCAAAAATAGTTTTTAAATGAATATATTATTGTATAGTACATGGAGTATTTTGGTCAAAATTTTTATCTTTTGCTCAAACTTCATTATAACTTGTTAGCTTTTTAAATTAGAGAAAATTAGTGCACTATTTTAAATTGCATCAAAGGGATATAGAAAATAGGGATGTCTCTTCCCATTAGTGAGCTGCAGAACAAGTATGTGCAAGATTGGCTGGGGGAAAAATCACTGTGTGAAACATGAAAAATAATTATGATCAACACTCTGTGAGAGGGCATGAGCTATGTTTGAAGAAGTGCACCACAAATGCAGTTAGCAAGAAAACACATGATGTCTGATACTCAAGTTATTATCCATTGGTTTTATTACCAATTTGATAAATTTTTCAGACAATGACACTAATGGAATATACATGAAGCATTTAGCAGTGCTCTACAATGAACCAAAGCCAACCCACTATTACTATGCTTAACAAAGTTTTCTCGTGACAAAAAATTCAATGTGACTGATATTAGAGTTGACTTCCCGCAACACAAAACGGTAACAAGTGGTTGTTTAATCAAATAATGTGTTTCTAGATGGTTAATATTGAATATCAGATTTGTACTTTTATTAAAAACCTTGTAACATAAGAATTGCCAGTTGGTCCTGTCTTACCCCATGCCCGGTCCCATCTTACCCCAATGAGGTAAGATGGGACCAGCTCACTTTTTTTAATCTGTACAGAAAACTGTGTTAGATGCAAAACATCTGAGTTGTAGCTTAGAAGCCCATTGCATAACTACACCTTGTGATAGGTTTTGGGTTTTTTAGTTATTCATGGTATAGATGCTACAGGCTTGTTAGTGATTTCGGTCCTGTCTTACCCCATCTGACTATATAAATGTAGATTTCAATGAATAATTAATTCAGCGACGATAAAATGGACTACGACGAATAAGCAAGTTTTATTAGTGATAAAAAAATATCGTACCAGATCGAACAGGATAATCTATACATACATTAAAACTACGATTACAAAAATTATTGGACGAACTGAATTATATGTATCTACTAATGTACTTCATATTAATATGGCTATTTTGCTGCTAGGCAATATACCTACTATATGGGGCAATTATATCCATACTGATGAAATTTGAGCGATAAAACCAACAATTAGAATATTTATGAAAGACAGCTCTGAGTAACAATATGTTGACGACCGCATGTCAGATCAAAATTTGAGCAATAAAACCAATAATTAGAATATTTATAAATGATAACTCTGAGTAACAATATAACTTTACAACCACACGTCAGATCATCCTGAACTCGATGCACCGCTACCAGCCACGCATCCACCTGGTGCGGCTCAAGGAAGGACAGTCCGGCAAATTCTGCAGCTTGGACACCGCGGACCGCCGCAGCTTCAGGTTCATGCAGACAGTCTTCACTGCAGTCACTGCATACCAGAACCAACTCGTGAGACCCTGTAGTATATTATAGGGCTGTGTTCCTCTTTTATATTATATTGCTGAGTAGGGACTTTATATTATATAGCTGAGTAAGTCTTTTATATTATATAGCTGAGCAAGTAGTTTATATTATATAGCTGAGTTGGAAATTCATATATAATAACTGAGTAAGTACTGTATACATCACATTGCTATGCAGGCACTTCATGTATCCCATACTATCTCAGTATAGGGCGGGCATTACGTTTCACAGCAAGCAGTATGTAGTTCATATGTATATTATTGCAGGTATTGTGTGTCGAGTCGTTTGTTGCATGAAATGGGATTTTTTGTATATTACTTCGTAAGGCTCTAATTTCGTGGTGTATAAATTCGCGTTTGGAAATTATATCTGCTTATACTGCCGTTAAGCAAGTACATGTTGATATAGTGCCGCAGACTGAAAGTGCAGAAAGTTGTGGAGATTTTTAAAAGCCGAATTAATTCGTCTGATTTTTAATATATTCAATTTAATGAGTTTTCGTAAATTACAGCAAAATTATCTCTGTGGTCTGCAGGTATTTACAGGTATATACAGCATGCAGCGATATTAGATACCTACCTAGTCACTGAGACGAATTTTTGGTTGCTTGCTATGCATTTGCTTCACCAATATTTCCTGGACTTGAATTGTACGGAATTGTAAGTGGTACTGAACCTTACCAATTGTAAAAGTAACTTCACTATTATTGTGAAAATAACTTCATTATTATTGTAAAAATAACTTCACTATTATTGTGAAAATAACTTCATTATTATTGTAAAAATAACTTCACTATTATTGTAAAAATAACTACACTATTATTGTGAAAATAACTACACTATTATTGTGAAAATAACTTCACGGTTATGGTAAAAATAACTACACTATTATTGTGAAAATAACTTCACTATTATGGGAAAATAATTTTACTATTTTTGTGAAAATAACATCAACATTATTGTAAAAATAACTTCACTATTATGGTGAAAATAACTACACTGCTATTGTGAAAATAACCTACTCATTATTGTAAAAATAGCTTCACTATTATTGTGGTAATAACCTTTGTATTATTGTGAAAAGAAATTATCTATTATTGTGAAAATAACGTAGTTATTATTGTGAAATATCTTTACTATTATTGTTGAAATATGTATCTATTATTGTGAGCATAACTTCACTATTATTCTGAAAATAACTTCACTATTACTTTGAAAATGATTTATCTACTATTATGAAAATAACTTATCTATCATTGTGAAAACAACTTGACTATTATTGTGAAAATTTCTTTTCTATTATTGTAGAACAAATACCACTTATCTGTTATTGTAAAAATAACTTCTACTATTGTGACAATAACTTGCTTATTACTGTGAAAATAACTTGACCATTATTGTGAATAGCTTCACTATTATTGTAAAATAATTTCACTATTATTGTGAAAAATAACTTCACTATATGTACGAACACCTTGTGGATCAACTCCATGTAGTGAGTGCCCCCTCCCTCCTCATCTCGTGTGGCAGGAAGGCATTATAGCGCATCGCTGCTCGGAGCTGTTTACATCAGATTTTACTAAGCCAGCTATAGCCATTGCGCTGCGGAGTGTAACCATTTCATTATGGACTTGAATTGGTCGTTACAACTTATACACGTGACTTGCTTTACGCCGTTACGCCTCAAGCTTCCCCCAAAACTGACGAAACGCCGCACATTCCCTAGACTTACGGTACCGCGTTCTGTCGTTAAGCTTGTCCACTATATAGTGTGCGCTCACTGCAAACGTCTTACGGTGATGAAAAGAATGTTTTGAACTTATCTTTCAATGGATGCATTTACTTGATGAACGATAATGGTGATGCTTTGACCTCCAGAACATTACTGTTCAGGTCAGTGTGGTTCATCAGGGGTAAATTTTACTCGGAATGGTGCCTCGAAATTTCGTTTGATATGCTGATTTTTTCTTCTTTTTCCACTCGGGCATTTGTTGGCCAAATACGTGATTTCCAGATATTGCAATTTCGTGATTTTTATTTAGTGGAAGTCAACCTTAAGATTTGTGTGTTGTATCATATCATAGTGAGATATCATCAAATTATGGTAGCAAAGTATCCCTCGTTAATTTTTTACATGTATTGAAAAATGTTGTACAGTATAGTATTTATTGTAGTGAAGCCTTATACGCATATGAAGCCGTATGCGCGCCCCAGTGCGCTGTACACGAAGTGTTATATGCACCCCAGAGCGTTGCATATGAAGCGTTATACGCACTCCAGAGCGCTGCATATGAAGCGTTATACGCACTCCAGAGCGTTGCATATGAAGCGTTATACGCTCTCCAGAGCGCTGCATATGAAGCGTTATACGCACTCCAGAGCGCTGCATATGAAGCGTTATACGCACTCCAGATCGCTGCATATGAAGCGTTATACGCACTCCAGAGCGTTGCATTATATGAAGCGTTATACGCACTACAGAGCGCTGCATATGAAGCGTTATACGCGTTCCAGTGCGCTGTAAAGCGGCTTATGCGGTGTATAACTGACAACACTTGCAAGCAATCCTGGCAAGAGGTTTCCTCTTATTACCTAATGCACCGCTTCTATGCCTACACCATCGTCGCCACACTGTCTACTCAATTAGGTTCTTTAGAAAATCCATTACGAGTTTGAGAAATACAATTGTTTTGGTTCACCGGAGTGCACGTTTAAAGCGATACACGGTTGAGATCATGGTCTGGTATTTTTCTTTCAATTATATTGGAATTTCGAGGGAACAAATTTTTGGGGAAGATTTTAATTTATTTTCTTATTTTCATTGGGAGCGTTTTTTTTTTTTAATTTACCGGTTTTCTGAAAATTGACGTTTCATTCACTGCTCAAAGTTGAAATAAATCTAGTCAATTTTTTATGTTAACCGCCCTGTACATGAAGAAGTTATGTTGCCTCATATGCTTTGCGGTGCGCTCGATAAGTAAGTCTGAGACTGATCCCGTGATCGCATTAAGCGTGTAACAGCAGATCTCTGCAAGCGGATTACGTAGGCATCGTGTCACCTTATGAACAGACGACCGCCACACCAATTGCTCGGAAAATCAATGCGGCTTTTAGTGCTTTATAATGGAACAGACCGGTGATGAAAGATGCCACGAGTTGACTCCCAGCTAGGGCAATATCATTGATGAAAATTTAATGCTTTACAGTTCAATGAAACGTTGACGAAAGATGGATGAAACGCTAATTGATGACTCGAAATTGAACGCACTGTTGATGAAAAATACCATGAGTTGTTTTCCTCCCTGCTCGCAAAATACTATGGATGAAAGGTTGATTTCTCACAATTTGACGAACTGTTAATGACATTTGTCATGCATTGGTCATCTTCTGGCTTGCACAATATTGTGGATAGATTTCGGTACTGTATGCCGCAAAGGGATCTTAAATTGTTCAATGCTACAACTTTGTAGAAGCAATATCCGAGCATAACACTATTCGGCGTTATAGTGATCATAAAGCATAATTCAAATATTTAAAGCGAGAATTTTTGGATCTTCATTTGAACGTAATATGTCAGATGGGTTGGTAAGGTCAGGAAGACGATCATTCCTCAGAAATAACTGCCAAGTCAAAATTTTAGTTCCTGAGAGAGTTAGTTCCTGCCTAACTTCTCTTGAAAATGACATTAAATAACTAGCGGTAATTTAAGAATTATAAGGATCATAAAACGATCATTGAGCGACCTAATTAGGCTAATTGTTTTTAACTATTCACTTTACAACTGTACCCTCATGATAATTGTCGATATATGCACTCTTTATTTCGATCTAAGCTAACTGAATTTTATAATTTGATGTGTAGTTTTTGCTCAAACCTTCAGAACAGAACTTTAGAACGGAAAACATACATACCTTTACCGAAGCTTTACATTTGTAAGACATAACGCTCATCATAGGAAGTTTTGATATTTTCTATACGCCCATCCCTTTCGATTTTAAATTTCTCGCATTAGGTATTGAATCTTGTTCGTATACTAATTCATCTTCAAATCAGGCTCGATCATTCGGTCATTTTTGCAGCTTCATCGAAGCGCCACCGCAGCCTGTGAAGCTGGTAGCTTAAGCTGGGTCTTTTAGTGAAGGCTCTAAGCTTTTAAATGACCACTCACTGATGCCCAGAGCTTAAGATGCTATTGATTACAGCGCACGCCATCAATAATGCTGTAGCCGACCAGGCTTTCATATCACCCGAGACGTCAATTCGACGTTTCCACCTGAATATTCGTTATAAAATTGATAAATACTGCTTCTCCAGCATTGTAACGGTAGTCAACAATCGTGCTGCCTAAACTAAACTCTTTTATTTTGTACTAAACAATACTTGTAAAGTTGTACATGTTGCCTAACTTGCCTTGGTACGTTGGTAGAACGTAATGTTCTATAAATGCTATTTTGATATTGTTTTGGTTGTTGTTTGAATATGAACGTTACCAGTACGTAAATGGTTTCATGTGCTATTCTAAAGTATAACATTTATACCTAAAGTACCACTTTTTTTTTGTCCCGTATGATGTCAACGTAAGAACCTTGCAGTCATAACCTTTGATCTTGCAGTTAAAACTCACTCACTCGGATCTTATCCCAGGACACAGTTATATAATAAGTTAAGAGTATTTAGTTATCTCCTATAGAGTTATGAATGTGTTATGAAGAGTTTCTTCTCGCCGTTGCATATTAGCGTGAACTAAATTTTGTATTCAGAAGTGTCCTCTTCTATTTAAATTCATAGAACTATAGGAAAATCGCTTACCTCTATTTCCAATCGAATAAAAAATCCCTGGTGCGTGTGTTTGCTCGGAATTTGCATGAGTCAACAGCGTGACACATGCGACGCGGGCCAGGGTTTCATAATCCTGTGCTTGCGGTGCATCTCCTAACACATCAGTGTCTCCCTAGCGTTAAAAAATGGAACTACGACACCTAAATGCGGATTAGCGAATACTTTATAGAGAGGGGAGTTGTCCACAGACAGCTGTCGGTGGATCAGTAAGAGTTAACTTATGAGTTTGACGAGGCATTACTCACGCACGAGACTTAATGAAACACAGAGTGATTTGTTGGCAGCCTGCGAGATTTAGCAACACAACACATCGTGGGGTCTAATCGGCCGCAATCCAATTCCAATTCCATACTTTGAATGCGATTCCAAAACGTTTAACATAGTAACAATATAATGCAGTATGTACGTAACATTACGGGATGCCTCTATATCGTTAAACCTTACACATTTGAACGTGTCTTCTCAGTTTAATCATAAGTAATTGAAAAATCGTGTTTCGGCTCTGTTTTAATTGAAACGTTGAACGGAAATGATCAATTGTTTTTCATGAAACGAAGTGCCAGCTTGAGGCTCATCTCGTCCGTCAATGTTGCGCTGCTCAGGCTTCGTTTGTTTTGGTGAGCGCGCAGCCTGGCGCTGTCATGAAAGCCAGCGGTGGCGGCGATTTGCCCGTCCAAATGGTCGCGTTACCGCCCAAATGAAGCGTGCATTGCCGTCTAAAGAAGCGCAAGACCAGTGCCAAACGACCCAAAAAATATCAACATTACCTTGCTCGCAGAAATTTGATGAAATGTCACGGCGCCAGACGCTAGGGTAATTAAAAGCCAGGCCTGCGTTAATATTACCCCAGCTCAAAGGCTTGTGGCGCTGTGACGCTCATCAAGACAGCGTTTTTAAGTCTGAACTTGAACACTCGCGGGTTAATACGCGGCGAGCTCGGCAACAGCGTGTTGCCTTATTAGATCAATTCTTCCGCAATTGACTTGAGCGGGTGATTATTCTTTCGTCGTAAACCTCGGAAACAGAGACGAGCTGAAGCTAAGTTGCTAGTGAATATATTCTCTGCGGACGCAAAACATCATTCCAGCGTTGAAAATAATTTTTTTTCGGCTTGATTAACGCAACGAAATAGAGAAATAATTATTATGCAATTATATTTCACGCTTCACTTTATATGTTTTGCTTCAACAGATGAATTCACTCGATTGTGTACTTAGAATGTTTTTTCCAGAAATTTAATAGAAGTCTAAAGTTAGTAAAATGCTATATATCAATTGATCAATTGTAAAAACGTGATACATCCATTTTGTCTGTTCTTACGTAATCGATTATGTGTCAAGTTTTGATTACTTGCAGTTTCTGGTTTTAAATCTTTTCATCTAAAACTTGTTCTGAAGTTATCTTGGTTCGTCATTATAGCAACTTGAGAAATAAATCTGATTTTTCAACAGCGAATTTTCTAAGGGTTACAAGACTTGGTTCATTTTCAGGGACATAAGTACACATATGTGTTTCTTCTCTCATTTTCTCAATCGTTTCTAAGTCATTTTAATAAATGTTCTTGGTAGGTATTCATTTCTTTTTATCTAACTCTATAAGGGTTTTACTCTTTTCACTCTATTATCAGATCATCATGCTATTTCATTCATTTTTTCTCACCCCTATTGCATCATATGAGCAATTTGTTTGTGTTGTTTTCGCTCGCACCGCCTTCAAGTTTTGTTTGTTCGTTTGCGACTTTCTTCTCAGCAATAAACTTTAAGGTATTCCGGCGACGTCTCACGGTGCGCTCGATAAGCAGGAAGTGCGGAACCAAATCGTAAGACGCTGCTCAAAGATACGTGCCTAAACTATCGATGAGAGCAAGCGCTCTATTGGTTTACTGCTTCCACTCTGATATCAAAGCCCGCCGATTATTGGTTAACGGCCTGTGATGAAGATATGGAAACGTCGCCATGATTGGTTTCCAGGAACTGTGTTTTAGATCTTGCCAGGCTTTGTCCAATCAACCAAACTGTCTGATAAGGAAGGCAGTGAGAGGAGATTACGCTGAAACAGCGAATTTTCTTGTCTTGCAAGAGTTTCTCGGCTTTCGGGAACAGATGAAATGAGGGACCGAAAGAAAGCTTGCGGTGAATTTCATTCGGAGCCTGATAGCGATGCCTTGAAGTCAGTCACAGGATTTACCGTCCAGGATTTTCTGATGGAATTTCGGCTTTTGTTTCTTCTCTGGACTCTCTTGAATAAACTGGGGATCGCTTCTGTTGCCTGAAGATATCAGCTCCGCAATCCTACATGTTTCCTACCGTTGGCTGTGGTCGCAGGAGAGACTCAATTTTTTAGACCATCATAGACTTAACTTTGTTCGATAAAATAAACCAGCTTGGTTTAAATGGCCTCAAGTATAAATTTACGTTTAATCATAGTGTTTCATACATTATATAATATCCATATGATTTTTCATTTGATGTAATCCAACCCATATCTGTACGAATTTTTTATCAATTTTTTTGGAGTGGAGTTCGGGTTTACAATATTACAATAAATAAAAGATTTAAAGGATATAAAATTGGATGTGATTTCACCAATAAATATTATTGCTCATTAATTTGGTGATTCGATAATTAACTATTCATAAAAGCAGGAATATCCTAGCCACTTTATTTACTCTTAGCAAATGTAGACTCCGTTTTCGCTGATAGTAAAGTAAATTGCAAGTAAAGTAAAGATGGTGCAAGTAAATTTAACAATCTTTAATCTCTGTTTTCCCGTCTATCCAAAGATCACGAAACTCAAGATCGACAGCAATCCGTTTGCCAAAGGCTTCAGGGACTCTTCACGTCTCATAGATTTTGAAAGGTGAGATTTTATATGCATACGGCCAGACTACCAACAAACCAAATTTTATACTTCCGACCGTGAGTTCAGTATACATGTTAGCAAGTGTTGTGGGGAAGGAGGGTGTTCATCCAGTGAAGTGAATTTACAAGACCAAAGGTAGAAAAATTAGATCAGTACTCACAGCAGTGAGTGACAGAGAGCGCATTTTCTCGTGCAAACGTGAAGTCACGGACGGACATGATGAGCACAATAGTGCATTTTTTCCCTAAATGAGTAAATGCGCTAAAAATGCTTGAAATTTTTAACATGCGGAAACTTCCTATTTTCTGGTTCGACATTCATGAATTTAGCCTAAGCCGCTAACGAATAATTCTTGACTAAGCAGTCAAGAAATTTGTTCAATGTTAAGCACGTTCTTTGATGAGCGGATGAAATCAATCCCTGTAGTCAAGAACAGTCGTCCGGCGGCGGTCTTGCGTGTGGCACTCTCTATGTGGCACTCTTGCGTGTGGCACTCTCTATGTGGCACTTAGTGCCGGTCGTGACACGTTGTGTCAGAGCTGTCATGGCACAACACGTGTGTGCTTGGTGCTGCTCTGTGCACCTCATTAACGCCAGGAAGCCGCTAAGTCGCCCACGTTGTTCATGACTTTTTATTTATTTCTGCGATTCACATTTATTTAAGATTACTAAAGATTATCTGAATTGGGTTTCTCAACCTATTTTAATCGTAAATTTGTTTTCTTTTATTTGGCCTGATGAACTATTTTGTGTAGCGTTTTATTCGCATTTCCCTGGGATTCCTACGATATATTTGTCTGTCATTAATAGCAAATTGCAAATGGAGGGTTCCTTGAATTTTTGATTGCCAATTTTTGCGATCTCGAAGCTCTTGCAACATCTTTCTTGTTGCGATAGCATTTTTTTTAAGACGAAGTCCGATGAAAAAATGTTGCCTCAAACCACTCACTTGAATCACTGCTCTCCGACAAATTGAATACATCTGCTGAAATTCGACCACGTTGAATATTTTTAGTGATGCAAGGATTAATTTCTACTTGATTAACGTCACGTTAATTTTCTATACGCAATTTAGCGCGCCGTCATCACTTCCTCGACCATCCTGAAAATACGAAATGAGTTGTAAATTTGATTGAGAGTCTCTATTGAATCAATTAAGATGGTGTAATCTGGCGCTCTGCATGACTAAGTTACGGAACGTCAGTTGCCTTAATGAAGACGCATTCAGCCTGACGCGGTTGCCCCGTACAGGCCAGGGCTCAAGTCGCAGGTGTGACCAACCGCACGAATTATATCCCCGGCTTTGGTGGCTCGCAGCAGCTGCTCACGCTGCACGCGTCATGCTGGTCGGCAACTTGCTAATCCTTGCAGGGGAATAGTAGATAAATTACATTTTCAATAGATATTTATATTATGTTTAATTACTTTGCCAAAGATTTGACTCAGCTACAGTATATTCAATCAATATACAGTGTATTATACACATATATACAGCATATATTATACAGTACAGTATATTCCAAAAAATTATACTCCTCCATGGATTATATGGTTTAGGTTTCGATAAGCGTTCTTTAGATTACTTTTCGAGCTTCTTTGTTGAACGGAAGTAGTTTTTCTGATCACTATCATGTGATTGTAGCATTGACTAGTTATGAATTGAATAATAAAAAAGTAATTTAATCCTTAACAGATTCGCATCCCTTCCAAGAAACCCAAACTAATTTTTACCCTTTGATATCCGTTAAATTTTCATATTTTTGTGTTATTAGTTTTCCCATGAATTTTGTGTTCCAATTTTTCATGAAAAGTCGTTGACGATCTCAAGAAAATTTCAGCTCTGGAGCGACGGAGGGTCATGGATGAGGGAGAGGCGGTATAGGTCGAGGAGCAGATTTCCAATATCCCGGGAGACAGATTACACTTCCAAACTTGCTCGAGAAAACAACGGGAAACCAAAATAAAGATCGCCCTCAAATCTCGCCTATAAGTTGCGCACCACAGAGTTGACAGCTTGCCAAGAGCCCCTCTATTGCAGAGGCCCCCTCGATGGGTGAGGGGAGCATCACCAGCCCGGGGGGGGGGAAATTTGGCTCTTTATGTCCTCATTTAGGTGAGGACATTCTTATTCAGGTGACAGCGATAATAGTATAGCAAGAGGTGTTGACATTATTATTCTAATTGGTGATTGTGTTGAATTTGGGACCTGAGATATCAGGGTGATTAATCCTGTGAATGTCAATGTTCAGGATATCAGAAATGTCGGAATTTTGAATTGCGGTTTCTTATGCCGAATTATAGGCGTGTGGGATGATTTATTTTGTCGATAATTGATAGGTGGCAATAACACTTCTGGAGTTGATTGGAGACCAAAAGAAATAAGTGGAAATAGACGAAAATCTTCGAAGTTCAAAGTTAACAATGAATCTAAGATATGGTGTTTTTTAATATAAATTTGATTACGCTCTATAAGAAAAACTGAATGAGTTGCGGGATTGAATACTCATTTCCACAGCTGGAACGGATATCTGAGAGAGGAAAACGAAAGATATCTCGGTGAAGGTATTTTTGGGGAGTCAGTAATGAAAAAAATTTCGGGCATATTTGAAAACTGTTTGTTGGCCAACAGGGAGTGATACTGAAAAGGATGGTATACGATCCAATATTGAGCTGCGCCTATTACAGTGTTCCTCAGCCTTGTTCGTTTCAGCACTGAACCAACCTATATTTTTCACGGCACCCTTTTCACAAGTTGCTTAATATTTTAAACCGCATAAGGTTCCTAGTAAATTTTCTATGAATCAGCGATTATCTCTTGGAAAAAACAAACCAATGTAGAAGGGGTAATGTGATATTATTGCTGAAAATAAGGTATTTATCCAACACGTAGATGTCCCTAATGTTTAGATAATTTAGATCGAATATGTTTCAGCTCATATTCATCCAAGTCAATTCGCGTATTGCAAGGTTCGCTCGGCACCAAGATGTATTTAATTGTCATTTAATTTCATTGAGGTCTTGTATTTAACAGTCGCCTTAGTTAGGCATTTATATTATCGAAGTTCAAGGCTCAGTCTTGAAATTTTATAGGTCATAGTCACCACCCACAGCTTTAACTTCGTACGTATAATTAAATTAACTTCGACATGCAAATACTGTATGTAAAATTTCCAGGTTCCAAAACCGTGAATATTTTCAAAACTTCATCAATATTTTTGCAATAGAAACAAAAATCAAGCCTGAATGCGTCGGAACTAAATTGACAGCAACTGAAAACAATAAAGATAGCGTGCGTCTACCAGGGGCCGTGGCTGCTTGATTAATTCTCATTCACGTACTAAGACGCGCTGTCGCTGCAACATTTTCGAATATAACATAAAAAGTCATATTAAACTTTCGGCTGCATGTATATGCAAACATTGCTGTCCGTCTCTTATTCATGAATCCTGTTGCACACGTGCATGCTCAGTTCCATCCATGCCAACGTACTGGGCCTAATAAAATGTTTCTATTATTCACTCACGTGTAAATGGGGCCTCATTATTATTCCTGTTTTTCACATTTTAACAATTAAATCCGTCAGCCACTCAGCCAGTATGTCGTGACGGAAGCGTCCATTGTTCAATAAATGGCACTGCTTCACTTTGCACCAATGACCCAATGACTTCTGCTTAGCTATAGATGACTAATCCCTCGTTTTTGATTTTAATTGTTATGCGTACATTTTTCATCGCTACATCTTCCAAATGAATTTAGCTTTTAAATTTATGAAAATCAGGGAAAAAGAGTTATTTATTGTGTGCCTGTCAAATGCACACGGCTAACTTAGTCATTAGATTATTAGGATGATTCACAAAATCATTGATTCATGCATCGCATATATTTACTCGTTTCGGATGAAAATCTAACCCACAATAATTTTTGACGCCAAATTCTGTTCGAATTTACTGGTATCCTTACAGCTGATAATTTCCTGTCATCTTGTTGAGATATGGCCAACCTCGTCCTTCTCTCGTTGCGGGGGACTGGTGAATTGATGCTTGATTAATATCAATATATAATTTATATTTTTTTCCGGCTGATGGATAGATTTTTATCATATATATAAGAATCAACAAAATTACATAAAATGATTAGCTGTACGTACCGCAACGTATCTCTGATCATCTGTTAAAAATAAATCCTTTATATTTTCGCCTGCTTCCGCCCTGTGGAATGAAAAAATTAAATGCATATAAATGACATTCGAGTTTTGATTGTTCCTATATGCTATATCTACTCTATATATTAAATATTTCAATCCGGAAATGAGTCGGTTCGATATTCTGAAGCAATGCATTTTGCACACCGGTCAAATTGAACGTCGATATCTAGTAATTTTATGATGTTTTATTTATTAATCACCATGCATTAATTAATCATCATTGTCTTCCTCGAATAATGGATGAATCCACTTAATACGCTTCAAAACCTCCTATATTTTTTAAGCATTTCACATCGAACATTACATATGAATCTACCCTGTCGATCTAATCAAATGTTAGAATTTCGCTAATAGGAATAACACTTTTTTTTCTAAGTAGATTTAAATGAATTATCGAAGTAGCAAAAAAAATGTTTCTGCTGGAATCGATATAGAATAAGCTGCAAATGATGTATTCCGTCGTCATGAAGTACCAATTATAAGCACCGCGTAAAATTGATTTTATGCGAGTTTCATTTCGTTTCAGTTTGGTTGATTCATGCTGTCGCTAATTGATCCAATCGTTATATCATATTCAATCGTTGTATATCACATTTTAAACGGTTTACTCGCTAGTGTTAAATACGTCAGAAATTTTCATGTCGTCACTCTCACTAGACCGAAATTTCTCTTAATGGGAATGCAACTACCATATTTTTGTGTTGAGAATATTTTTATAATAAATACCTACACATGTCCCGCCAGCCCGTGATCTGTTCTGGTTAAATGGTTAAAATTATTATGGACATATATTGTTTGGTGGAAAGTATAAAAAAGCTGAAAAATTGCAGGTGTCTCACCGTTGCAATCGCGTAAACTTGATCCGGAGGATCGTGTATGACATCGAACTCACTCTGTCCAATACCGCATGGTTTAGATCATGCACATGCACCTTTTTTGTGTGTAGCTCAATCAGCCCAATAATTATAAGGATCTGTTAGTGATACGCAAAGCGTCCAACACGCTATGATGATGAATCGAACTTTCACGAAAAATGATTTCCTGGCTCCTGATTAATGGTCGTAAAACTCATTTTTTCCATTCAGTGGATTTTGGCTGGCCAGGTTAATAAAGAGTTCTGTTACCAGCTGCTTATTTTGATCACTAACTACTGAAGCTATCACGGAAGTGCGATGTGAAATGATGTAATTTAGTTTCATCATTCTGTTTTGAGATTTATCTAAGTTGTTCTTCTGGTATGGGAGGACCTTGTCATCACCGGATTATTTATCTTACTCGAATCTTATTTCAACATTTTGCTCGTGATGGAGATTTTCACAATAAACTTTTGTTTCATTCTTAACTTTTATAGTTATATCTTTTTATACGAAATAAAAATGATAACTTGCTATTTGATTTGAACCGTATTAGCGCCAACTTTTTTTTGTTCCATTGCCTCTAATCTTTTGACAAAAAGAGCTCTAGGACCGAGACTCGCCTCCCAGCTAACCATGGACCCGAATGGTCATTCGTATTGAATTGCACGAATTGGTCAATTTAAAAAAGTGCTTCTGCCTTCCCCTATCAAGCACACTTTTAACAAATTAAAAAATTGCTTTCCCAAGCGCTCGAGGGTTGAAAAAAGTATCACTTTACCGGTCGCAAGCTCAGGATACCTCATGGGGATTTGCTGGAGCTGCTTGTGCCAATCAAAAATGTGACGAAGAGAACGCAGTCCCAACACTTTGCATTATGATCACACTTTGCAAGGTTCATGAAAAGCCATTATAATAACGTGTAAATCATGCTGCCTCCCAAGACAAAAGGTAAAAAAGTAATAAAATAGGAAGCAACGAGAAATTTGTTTGTACACGTGTTACCTGTTGACAGAAATGCACCGAAATGCGACATCTTCAGACGGCAGCTAATTGCGTTTTTTTTTTGCCGAACACGATAGGAAGCTGTTGATGTTAAAGATGGCATAATTACTTCACTGACTGTGACCTTGATGTAAATCCTCGACCTCTGATATAATATTATAGGTGCGTGACCTAATTAAGTTGTCGTTCAAATTGCGCATAATTTATCAAGGCAAAACCGGCCGCACGTTCGCCGCTTTCGCTCACCACAAATTGCCGCTTAAATCAATTTCGGCAGGACCAATTTTTAAATTGTGATTGAAATTTACCGTTCGACTAACTTTTTTATCGCTAATATAGCTGGTCAAAATTAGATCGGCTTCGCTTTTAACTTAATTCGGATGCCATTGGCGAAATTAACTAATGGACATTTTAGTTGGTGATGTTATTCCATGGTTCGGAGGAGATAAGGTATTTAGAGGAAATGTGCACGGGATTTCATTGCGTGATACCACTCAGAAACTTTTTTGGATTAGCATTGCTTTTTGGTGGAGTTAACATTCAATTGCATGCAATGAATATTAAATGGGTTAAAATTGTGTTACCTTCATTAATGTTTTTTTTTTATTTTAAATAATTGTAGGAATGTCAAAAATTGTGATTCGGGTTACTTGTGTCTTCATTTTATTGTGTGTTTCGATCACTTAGCAGTTTTATTTTATTCTGGCACATTTGTACAGGAAAGATTTCCCTCAGCAATTCTTAGACTTTCTGTAAGCAATTAATTAGTAACTCCTCCGTGTAAGCGTCGAATCAACTCGTCTTATCAATAGCATGACACCAATTTCCCTGAAATTTCCTAAGCAAATTGTTTATATAGAGTTAATTGTGTATTAAATTAACTCGGGGCTGTAATTGACTTGTTCCATCAATACATTTGAATACTAATTCCTGATTTTTTACAGTTAGTGTTAATTTTTTGCCCCCATCACATCAATGTTCTCTTTTCTTCCGCAGGGAAACGATGGACGTTCTAATATCAGAGAACCCATACCTATCATCAACAATCGCGACATCTGCTGGCTACGTGCACCAGGGCAACCAGAACCTCATTCATAGCGGTCACAGCCTGACCTATCCTGGACAGAACCACCACCAGGGGGCGCTCAGACCTGATGCTCAGAACCTATACCCAAGAACACATAACTTTGGCTTCAACGGTCAAAATCTGAACAGTAGTAGCCAAAATTTGAATCTTGGGCAATGGTATCTTTCATCTGCAACACCCCTGATCCTCGATCGTAATACATACGAGCAGAAAATTCTGGAGGACAAAACCATTTTGGCTGCTCGAGCGTCGCTTTACGTGGAAGCTCAAAACAGCTTTCTGAACAAAGATTTCGAAAAGTATGATCGGAATGTCCACCATAAATCCAACAAGAATGCAAGCCATTGCGGAATAAATGCAGATGAAGATGAGAGAAAAAATAAGTATGCTAGCGATTTAGAATCAGATCTAAATATTGGTAATGAAGTTCCACTGCCTTTCGATTTTCAGGCTACGAATAGCGGATTAAGTTTGTATTTACCGCCTCCTTCTCAGTCGAAAGTTTCTTTCTCGAGAACAGCTTCGCCTCGTTTTGCTAGTATTCCCGCACTTACGGATTCTTTGCCTCATCGAGAAGTTTCATGTTCACAATCAAGTTCATGGCTTAGTCTTGGAAGCCCCGTTTCAACATTGTCATCTCTTTCTTTGCCATCTGCAAGCAGCAGCGTTTCTTCGTGTCTTTCTTCATCCGCTGTCGATTCAAATTCTCTCAAAAGTAGAAGTCTGAGTTTAGAAGATGAGCATTCAAACTTCAATCACTTCCACAGCTCTGTTTCAGTTCGAAGCGAAAAAAAGCTCCTCCCATTGATACCACAACCTCAGTCAGCTTTGCCTCTGCATGCTTTCTGGTCTCATTGGAATTTGAATAGACTAAATGCCGCAGCTGCTGCGGCTGCCTTGGTTCGCAGATCCGATATCGACGCCTATCACTTGAGAATAAGTGCATCAAACGAAGGTGCCAATTCATTGAAACCAAATCTTGATAGGATCCATAATTCTATGTCTCCTATTTCATTAGAAAGTACGCGGTCGATCGCCAAAAATGAGGAAGCTGAGATTGCTGTTGACATCCCTTCATCAAACCTTGCTGAAAGATCTAATTTGGAAGACGATAATGACCGAGATTCGATGAGCGACACAGCGCACGAGGACTTTATTAAAGCAAATTCTGCCGTACCTAATTATCTTTCCCGAGCAGACGAGGCCTCTGTTAAAGAACCTGTTTCCACTCCGGCAAGTGAGGAATTAGAATCAGGAAACAGACAATGGAATGCAACTCGTTACCTATCAGATGAGCGTCACACTGCCTCTATCAAATCCCCCAAGCCGATATACCCTCCCGTCTCTTCATCCTTGCTGCGATTTACGCCATATTTGTACCCAAAAGTCGCTCCAAGCCTCGCCGTACGCAATGAAAATTCACCGAATCCCAAGTTGGGTTTCTCATTGACTTAGAGACGCTGAATTTCCTAATCATTCAATGAATACAATAAAAACTCTCGAAAGTGTGCCAATCGAGCGATATAACATCAGTCTGAATTAAATTGTACAATGTTCATATTATATTATCATAATTTTAATTTTCACGTTTCCTGGTTTGGAGGTTTTCCATGTATGTTTTATCTCTTATTTAGTGATGATTCGATCACATCATGAGCATGAGAGAATTAATCATTAATTTAGTATAATCAGACTAGCTAAAAGTAAATTAAATGTGTATAGTTTTAGATAACGTCGATATTATCCCTAAATTATTGCAAAGGTCTAAATTTTTATTTTTTTCTCAAAGTAACGGCTCAAGGATAGATGCATAGCTATTGTAAACATTTCTTGACCATTACAGAAATTAGCACAAGTTGTATTATAGCCTACCGCGTGTTGATTAAAATGTCATCACTCATCACACCGTAAGGTTACTATTTACGAACTATTTACGATTTATTTTGGTATTTCTATTTGATGCCAGATATACCTGTAACAATAACTTTTCAATGAAAAGATGTTAAACAACTTTTTGCTTATCACTGGAGTGTTTGTGTTGGTTTTTAATTAGTTTTTATTTATTTAGAGTTTGTTACAATAAAGTAGGAAATTAACGGCGTGTAGTAGATTTTGAGGCATCCAATCTTGCCCTGTCTCTTTAATCAATATTAGCTATAATTGAATAATTATATGGAAGATGGAATCCAGTGTATGCATGTATATTGGCAATACGAAGTTTTTGCTGGAAAAGGTATTAGTTAGGACGATTAATTCCGTACGATTGTTCCCTCTGTTCGCAACCGTTGCCGAAACATGAGTCAATATTTGCACCATCACTCATGAAATTCCGTGTGAAATTTACGATGTCATGTTACTGGAAAAATGTGGTTAGAATAAGAAACTGTGGCAATGAATGAAGTGATAATTTTTTATGCACTGAATTTCATAGGGCATATTTCAGGATTATTGAAAGTGACCCCATTCTTTGCAGTTTTCCAATTTAGGATTTCTACTTCAAGAAATCCATGCTGGGTATCTTCTGAAATAAACTGTAGCGTTAACAAGTTTTTTTATTTTTCCACATTTTACTGCTTATCTTTAATGTAAGTGTGTAATTTATTTTTAAATAAATCTCGCGACGCTGTAGTTATGGATACATTTTCAAAGGTCAACGATTCGAATAAAAAGTTTAAGGAACGTGCGATATTTACGTATCAATTCTATATCCGAGTCGAGTTAAGTTTTGAATTAGGAGTCACAGTAATAGTATACCTAATTAACATAATAAATACTGCACGATCTGCAGTACTCTTGTTTCTCTCAATAGGATTTTTGTACAAAAGTTCTAGAACTGACATGCTCCGTGCCTATACTTTAAAAAAAAGGTAAGAGATCGTAAGTTCACCAGCCAATCATTGACGGCCTTTCGAGCAAAATCCACCAATCATAGACAAGAAAATAGAGCGTAAGTACTTACGTTCACTTAGCGAGTTTTGAAAGTATATCCCCATGGTCTGCAGACATGTGCCGAATAATGTTCCGAAAATCCCGTCTGTTGGCCCGTCCGCCGCTCCGTCAGACTGTCGCCGAAGTTTCGTTCACTTTAAATTGACTCGGAATTTCTGTCTGAATCTGACAATGAAGAAAGTTAGGCCATAATTGGCTGTGTGGTGCGGCACTGTTGGCAAATTCTGGCATGCTGATGGAAACTTTCGAAATAGGCCTGCAAATTGCTTGCTAGAACATCGTTCCCGGCGCCCAATTAGAATACCAGACTCTGAAAATGTCCCGTGGAACACTTGATCGAGACGAAATAAACCTGAGAAAACGTTAAAATATCAATAAAATGCAAAATATTAAAATATGCATTATTATATTTATATTAATAGTATTTATGTAATCAAAAAACGGACACTCATTAGATGCATTAGATGATGCGTTGGAAAATAATTTAGCCCGCAAAGGAAACAATATGTCATTTCTGAAAAATTTGTACTAGAAAACAGGGGCATACCGTACTAGAAAACGCCAACAACAGGGGGCCCAAAAAAGTGGAATCACTTGCGTAACGTCGAAAAAATCATCCCAAGAAAATCCGTACACCCGAAATGTAAAATTTATTCAGCTTAAATCTCTTTAGAACACATCTGTACACGTATTCACCAAATTCATGTTGTATTGGAACTATATATATAATTCCCTCCCTCACTGTCTCTAGTTTTCTTAGCGATTATCTTTTTTTAGCGCATTTTCTCATTTATGGAAAAAATACACTATTGTGTTCGTCATGTCCGTCCGTCTGTACGTGACTCCACGTATTCGTCGACGAGAAAATGCGCGTTGTCACTCACTGCAGTGAGTACTGAGTTATATTTTTCTCTATTCCCCTTGCCCATGTCTTGTAACTTCCTGAAGTCTTGAGTTCGCCTCGTCTTCTGAGACGGCCTCTCTGCTCTCCCTCGCACCGCCAGCTTATCTGTCCCGAGGGAGAGCGTTAAGGGAGAGGCGCCCTCACACCTCGCCACATGTTCTGCCTCTCGCTTGCTGCTCGCTGCCTCAGCCAGCCTCTCATCTGCCTCAGCACTGCTTCTCTATACGGTCGCTGCCTCAGCCAGCCTCTCATCTGCCTCAGCACTGCTTCTCTATACGGTCGCTGCCTCAGCCAGCCTCTCATCTGCCTCAGCCAGCCTCTCATCTGCCTCAGCACTGCTTCTCTATACGGTCGCTGCCTCAGCCAGCCTCGCATGCATCTGCCTCGACGTTGCTTCATCTCTCACTTCAATATCTTCTTTGCCTCGTCCTCTCATCCCACATCATCCTCTGTCCAGCAAGTTTATTTATTTTATTATCTCTTGACATTAATGTTTGCATATAATACAGATTATTATAGTCAGTAATTATAGGCACAAGAAATAGAAGAGTTACTCTAACGACGTAATTTTCTAATATATCGCTCGTGAGGGTCAAGCCAAAGCTTTTTCATTAGCGGCATGTCTGGTGGCCACTGTATATACCACGCATAGATAGGAGTAATTAAATTGACACCTCAACACGTACGGAAGGTTACAGTCAAACCGACTCGTGCTAGCAAGCTGCTGCATGAACATGCTTGTTTGGCTAACAGCTTCACTATATTATATCATAATTTGGTCTTGGGAAGCTGGAAGCTGCGAGGGCGTTTTGTATTCACGAGGTGTAGTCGTATTGTCTTCTTATGGCGCAGACTGCCGTCCTCTGCCTGCTGGTAAGTGTAAGTAAAAGCACCACGCACCTGAGACCCTCACCACCTGTGCGTTGTGTGAGTATATATTTTGTGTGTATGTGTATGTTGTGTAGAGTTTTATCATAGTTTACGTGTGTGTTTTTGTTCTAGACTGTATTTATGCTCTCACCACCTGTGCGTTGTGTGAGTGTATATTTTGTGTGTATGTGTATGTTGTGTAGAGTTTTATCTTAGTTTATGTGTGTTTTTGTTCTAGACTGTATTTATGTGTGTGTAATTTGTGCGTTTATTTCAGCGTGTGCATGTTGTTGCGCGTGTTATTATATATGCCCATAACTGTAGAAGCATTTCTTAGTTCAGTTAACCCTTCATGCCCGAAGGTTTAACGCCCTTATGTAAATTTAAAATTTCACCAAAAGTGTAAACTCGTCATGTATATGTAAAGTCAGGATTTCGACTAGAAAGTGAAAGAAAGCTAACAGCGGTTCAGATTATGCCTAAGAAGTTTCTCGAAATTTTAAAATGTATAACAAAATGTGATAGAAGTATAACAGAGATCCGATATGAAAAATTAAACGTATTTCAAAGCTAAACTCTGATGTTTGTGCGCTGTGTGCTGGATTTTTATATTCGTTGTTTATACATTCGGACTTTTTAACTCTCCATCTCGGAATATACTGTATATAGACACGGATTGATCAAGCTAGTATTCAAGGTTGATATTATTTTATCTAATAATAATATAGGTTATATTATTTACTACCGCACTAATAACGGCAATTGTTTCTCAATTTCATTTTTTTGAAAATCATTCATAACCAGATGAACGATCCATGTATCATCGATATATTTATGACTTGATTTTAGTAGCACTCAACTATGTTTTCTGGAATTTTCTGTGCGATTTTTTTAAAGATTTCTATTCACATGCTATTTCCCTCGGACGAGCGACCTTTTTTACGTATAATTGTGTTATTTTAAAAATTTTGAATAGCAGTGCACTGCATATATGCAGATGTTTCGTACATGAGATCGCTAGGTCGCATGTGCAGACATGCTTCTTTATCGGCCCTATAATGTTAACTACTCAGGCTGCAGTGCTGTCATCATGGCACATGCCTTACATCTATAATAAAATTAACGATGCCGTTCAGAATCCTTTCCTCTTGATTAAGCCTGTGAAGAACGATGCAGGCTTTGCGAGTTTTTCATAACCAGACTCTGCCTCACATCCTCCTATTCTTTTCGCTGTATTCTAAAATTATTCGTATTCGCTGTATTCGTCCCTGCACATAGCTAAATTTAATTATTTAGGCTGTTTTAAAATTTCCTCAGTATCTTATTCCCTGCTGTCACTTTAATTCTTTTGGCTAAAAAAATAAGAAGAGCAACGATTTTTTGAGCAAGAGCAAAGATTTCGCGAGTTTAACTCGGAAGGGAAAATGTTCCTCAAGTCGAGTTGGCGCGCTGCAATTGTAACTTTTGTTTATTTTTTGTGCTTTAGGAAGTCGTTTTCGAGTTAGTTCGCAGAGAAGTGTCTTCTCGGAGCCGTTGTCAAGTATTCGGCCGCTCGTGTTATTCCGAGAGGCGTTCGAGCGTCTAATACGCCATCTATATACAAAATGGCGTAGCCGGCGTCCTAGCGGCGTAAGCCGCCAACGAAAACCCAGGCTAGGAAACGACGCGTGAAACGTCGGCAAGATTACTTTGTCAGAATAATGCAGTCCGCGCTGAATTATTCGCTTTTGAAGGTCACAATCTAGAATAACTGGCATGCCAGGATACATTGTTTATACGTTCATTTCCGTTTAAATGATTTTGTTTGCATTTATTTCATTTGTTTAAAAACTCGGAAAGATATTCGTCACAGAATGAAATAAAAGTTGAACTGGAGGTATACCATAGTCATTCATGTAACCGTTTTGTGACTAAATCGTGTGAAAATGCCGTTTATTCATGAATTTAGATCCCAAACAAATTTATTCTACGTGTTTAAAAAATAAAAGAACAAAATCATATTTGCACTAGTTCACTTGTATGCAAATATTAATAATATTGAATTATTCAACAGTTCTAACTTTTAGTTGCGAACTTTTTAGTTGCGAACATTTGCCAGTCTGTAGGGAACGTCTCCATAGACGACGGAAGGACGCCGGGTTTGGCCGAGGGTTCGGCCTCGGTTGCGAGCCGCGCTCGCTCAGCGCGACATGTAAACGATTTGCAGATAGCGCTAACTAGGGGAGCTGTGAGGGGAAGAGGTGCTGTACGCTGCTGTAAGGGGAAGGCGCTGCTGCACGCTGCTGTAAGGGGAAGGCGCTGCTGTAAGGGGAAGGCGCTGCTGTAAGGGGAAGACGCTGCTGTAAGGGGAAGACGCTGCTGTAAGGGAAAGGCGCTGCGGTAAGGGGAAGGCGCTGCTGTAAGGGGAAGGCACTGCTGCACGCTGCTGTAAGGGGAAGGCGCTGCTGTAAGGGGAAGGCGCTGCTGTAAGGGGAAGACGCTGCTGTAAGGGGAAGGCGCTGCTGTAAGGGAAAGGCGCTGCTGTAAGGGGAAGGCACTGCTGCACGCTGCTGTAAGGGGAAGGCGCTGCTGTAAGGGGAAGGCGCTGCTGTAAGGGAAAGGCGCTGCGGTAAGGGGAAGGCGCTGCTGTAAGGGGATGGCGCTGCTGTAAGGGGAAAGGGAAAGGCGCTGCTGTAAGGGGAAGGCGCTGCTGTAAGGGGAAGGCGCTGCTGTAAGGGGAAGGCGCTGCTGTAAGGGAAAGGCGCTGCTGTAAGGGGAAGGCGCTGCTGTAAGGGAAAGGCGCTGCTGTAACGGAAAGGCTGCTGTAAGGGAAAGGCGCTGATGCACGCTGCTGTAAGTGTAAGGGGAAGGCGCACATGCAGCGGACGAGTTGCTCCTCAGCGTGATCACTCCGCCCTAACCATCATGACCTTTTCCTATTAATTGAGTATTGACACACATAGTGAAGTGAAAGGGATATTGTCTAAAGGGTGATTCCATTTAACTTTCAACATCCAGACCCATGCAGTAGTTTGCCCTCTGCTTGCAGCTGTGGGCAAGAAAGAGCGATACTTTTTTGGTCCCTAAGACTCGCTCATGTTTCTGCGTGCAAAAGAAATCTCACGTGCAAAATTTCAATGCTCCCACTATAATTGTTTCTAAGTTATCACTATATTGCCTTTTGTAAGTTATTTTAAGAGATTTTCCTGGCATATTTTTTATTTTAACAATCAACTTTCTGTACTCCGTAGTAATGGTACCGAATTAACTTAATGTTTTTTTTCTAATTTTGTCAACTTAATTGAAGTGAAGACTTGAAAGAATTTACTGAAAAATATGATTATATTGAAAAATATTGTAATAGAAAAGATACTGGTTCTTGAAAACTGCATGTTTCTGTACTGAATTGAATTGTCTGAATTATTCTAGGGTGTTCATAAGTTTGTGTTTGAGACTAAACGTTCAAATTAATATGAATTGTTAGATCTAACAAATCTTGTGTTGTCATTGTGATAATCAAAAATATTGTGGCCAAAATTATCAGATTAGGAACCTCAATATAGCTGCAACTGCGACAGTTCTGAGCTACTATATCAGCAACTGCGACAGTTCTGAGCTACTATCAGCAACTGCGACAGTTCTGAGCTGCTATCAGCAACTGCGACAGTTCTGAGCTACTATCAGCAACTGCGACAGTTCTGAGCTACTACTATCAGCAACTGCGACAGTTCTGAGCTGCTATCAGCAACTGCGACAGTTCTGAGCTACTATATCAGCAACTGCGACAGTTCTAAGCTACTATCAGCAACTGCGACAGTTCTAAGCTACTATCAGCAACTGCGACAGTTCTGAGCTACTATCAGCAACTGCGACAGTTCTGAGCTACTATATCAGCAACTGCGACAGTTCTGAGCTACTATATCAGCAACTGCGACAGTTCTGAGCTACTATCAGCTACTGCGACAGTTCTGAGCTACTATCAGCTGCTATAACTGCGAGTGGAAACAACCATGGACTGATCCTGGTAGTTTCCATCCTAAGCAAATAAAGACAACAACTGATGATGTGAAAATTTCAAAAAACAGCTGGTGCAGTGTAAATAGCGAAAAAAACAAGCGTTGCAGTGAAAACAACAAGAGGCGGCGCAGTGAAAACAACAACAACAAGCGGCGCAGTGAAAACAACAACAACAGGCGGTGCAGTGAGAACAACAAAAGCATCTGTTTCCAGATTCTCGGCTCCCGCGAATCAATATAGCGAGGCCGTTAGCTGTGCCTCACGCCTGGAAGTGGCATGCGCCTCACGCCTGGAAGTGGCATGCGCCTCACGCCTGAAAGTGGCAGGCACCTCACGCCTGGAAGTGGCATGAGCCTCACGCCTGGAAGTGGCATGCGCCTCACGCCTGGAAATGGCATGCGCTGCCGATCAGGATGTGATGAGTAATTAAACTGACCGAGTTTGAATTACAAAAACAATTTCTAATTTGGTAAGAAATACTTAAAAAATTCGTGCACATGTTATGACGTACAAATTTTTGTGGTATAGTAAATATAATTTTATTTCATTAATTTATTTTAGCCTTGAGTTCGTAACGTAAATAAACAATTTTTAAAACAAGATTATATCCGATCTTGCCATACTTTTAGCAGGATCAAAGCTGCAAATCTTGAAGGATTAATTAAATAATAAAGTAGAACGTTGTGTTGTCAGGTTCGTGACAAAGAACAAGCCCCCAATTACCCGAGTAACTTCTGTAGAGCGCAGCGCAATGATTGCTGGTGATGTCACTGTGATAGTTATGCTAATCCAGCTGCTATGTAATCGCCACCAATATGCAAGAAAAAATTAATGAAAAGCGTGTTTATTAAGCGTTTTCATTTGTATTTAATTGTCACGTTAAGACAGACCAAGTCAGCATGTTGTATGGACTGCAGTTTGCCGATGAAACATTCTGAAGGCACAAAACATGGCGTTCACACGGAAGTACTTAGATTTTTCTTTCAAAACGACACCTGTAGATGCATGTAAGCATATGGAAACACTGGAATCGGTACTTCCATGTTTATATCGTCATTTATTGTAATCAACTTATAGTTTGGTAGTACTATGTCTGTTTATTGATGGGAAGGCACTTCATAAAAGGCGAACGCGCGTATGTGATTGTTTTGTTATATCTTCAAAATCAGACTACTACTCAACATTAATCTACTGGATGATTTAAGATGAACACCCTTATCTCCTATCGTACTCCAGTGCATGCACTTGTTTTATCTCGACCCACATTACTACCTAATATATATACGAGCTGGGTCAGCCATACACATGCCAGACTTAAGCCTTATATAGGGCGGGTCCAGCCCTCTCAACAGCCGCTCGTAATCGCTCACAAAGACATTCCTGGCATAGCGCTTGATTAGCTATGTAAAAGAAGTGTCTTTCGCTCAGGTTAGTCCCGTGTGCAACAGCAGGGGGTTCCATTCTTCAGTATATATATTAAAGACTTGCAAATATATATACTGGAGACTTGTAAGTTCTCGCACGTCACCCTCCCTCATCACCCACCCATCACCCACCCAGCCATCATCTTATCACTCCTTCAACTATCCATTAAATGAATCCCTCATCATCCAAACCCCTCAAGCAAATATTCATTAACCTACGTCTTTTCGCAGTCCTTCACCCAGTCCCACCACACCCCCACCACCCAGTCTCCCACCACCCAGTATTTCCCTCTCCCCTCCAGCAGAGCTCCGGCAACCCGCATGCCGCCGCCGTTTTTATCGCACGCTTGACACGCACGACAAATTGTTATCTGCTCCTGCATCAGTATTGCTCCTCGCCAGCTAGCATGCCGAACTCCATGGGGGGCCGCCGCCCCTCTACCGCCCCTCCCTCTTCTTCTGTTCCAGCGCTATAGTCCCTCGGCAATTCCTGCACTGCATTCAGTCGCGCTTTCTTGACTTGCTTCATTCGGTTGACACTGCTTGCACTTTATAATGATCTGGTTAATCCAGCTAAAATCTAAATAGTATGGCATTTATAGATTATACCGAAACTTTATGCTTTTGTATTTAATAGTTAATAAAATATTTTTATTAACTGTTTCTCGACTGTATCGTTGGTTTGTTTTTGGCTATTTCGTCCAAGTATGACGAAATAGCCAAATAGTTAATTTAACGAAATAGTTAATTTCATTTTGCTTCGTTCGTGTGATGGCTGCTTACGCGCGGACTCATGATAGGAAGATGCTTCCTTGTTGTTGGATTGAAGACCGAATTATCTTCACAGTTTTTAGTTGTAGCTATTGGTTACGAATATCGTGCACTGAGCCGCACCAAGTTACGAATTTCGTGCAGTGAGCCGCTTTCGGTTACGAATATCGTGCATTAATCCGCTCTCAGTTACGAATATCGTGCATTGAGCCGCTCTCAGTTACGAATATCGTGCATTGAGCCGCTCTCAGTTACGAATATCGTGCATTGAGCCGCTCCTGGAGCTAAGACACAGCTCACGAATTTCAGTGCCAGTAAATCAAGGCACGAAACTCGCATGAGAGACAGCGGGCCTCCCTTCCGCTTCCCTCTCGTTCATTTATTCCAAACACACACGATTCTTGGCCATAAATTCTAAGCTGGCCTTATCTGCATCTGTAAGAAACTAAAGAGCTATGCTCATGACCCGAGCACAATGGCGCTATGTTATTACAACCTTATATACAAAAGAGACTTGAATGTCACCCTGCGTATTGGCGACCTTTGTATTTAGTTATGGGAGAAGCAGTTCAGTGACGCCTCTTTATAGACGCTCGATTGTTTGTTTCTGTGCGACGTGCGTGTAGAAATAATTGATATTCGAGAGCATGCAAACGCTTCAGAGATCGTCGATTGTTCTATGACGCATACGAGATTATTGTCGTACGGTAAAATTGTGTGTGAATTAGATGTTATTTCACTAAGGGTTCCCAGCACTCCGGGATTTCTATTGCCTAACAAATTTTATTTAAATTTGTTTGTTAAACGCTGGAATGCAATTCGCAAGGATTATAAGGCCGTGCGTTTGAAATACTACGTCACATCTAAAAATGAAAGATATAAAATTGAAAAAAGTGAACCTATTTCAATAAAAATTTCGATTACGGTTATATTCGACGTTCAAATCAAAATGACCTCTCAAAAATTTTTGAAATATGAGGCAAATGACGGTATCTCTGATCCTTAATTCTAACGACACTCCCCCAGCGCACCACTGCACCACCCAACGCACCACTGCACCACCCAACGCACCACTGCACCACCCAACGCACCACTGCACCACCCAGCGCACCACAGCACCACCCAGCGCACCACTGCACCACCCAGCGCACCACTGCACCACCCAGCGCACCACTGCACCACCCAACGCACCACTGTACCACCCAGCGCACCACTGCACCACCCAACGCACCAACGCACCACTGCACCACCACCACAACCATGTTCAGGACGGACACCCCGTAGTTCTGATCGCTTGATAGCTAAAAATGTGTCTCTGACAAAAGGCGCCTCGGTTTCAGAGTCTATAAGTTACCTCTCAAGTTACAACATCTTTTCTCCGGCCTGAACAGAGATTGCGTACCCAAGGCTCTATTCGTCGTGTTTTGAACTGCAGACTTTATTACCGCGGCTCCCAAGTGTGATAATAGGTTCATGTTATGTCCTGCTCTGATACTTGCAGATCTTGTCCGTAGACTTAGTTGGTGCCACGTTATTTGGGGGCATGCAGTCGGTCCTAAGTTTGGTTTAACTCAGTTCAGGCCTTCTTGACATAAAAACAATCCTTGCATCCGTAAACTTCCGTTTCGTTTGACTGTAGGATGTTGAAAACGCCAATATAATTGCC